TTTGTTCAACATAGAGCTCAAAGTTACTTGGAAATGAAACCTGTATAAAAAACTAACCTTTTCACTAATCCAGAAAATGTAGGTCAGATTCAGCTTCTGAAGCCAGCCTAGTAGAATGCACCATTAGATGTACCATCCATGCAAGTTTGGTCATTATAGGGCTCAAAGTTACTTGGAAATGAATCCTGCACCATAAACTTTAACCTGTTTACTCAACCGGAAAATGTAGGTCAGATTCAGCATCCAAAGCAAGTCTGGTACCATCCATGCAAGTTTGGTATGCATTTAACCTAAGATGTACCATCCAGGCAAGTTTAGTCATTATAGGGTTCATAGTAACTTGGAAATGAAACCTGCACCAAAAATTTTAACCTGTTCACTCAACCGGAAAATGTAGGTCAGATTCAGCATCCGAAGCAAGTCTTGTAATATGCATCCTAAGATGTACCATCCATGCAAGTTTGGTCATTATATGTCTCATAGTAACTTGGAAATGAAACCTGCACCAAAAACTTTAACCTGTTCACTCAACCGGAAAATGTAGGTCAGATTCAGCATCTGAAGCAAGTCTAGTAGTATGCATCCTAAGATGTACCATCCATGTAAGTTTGGTCAACATAGGGCTTATAGTTACTCGGAAATGAGACCTACACCAAAAACTGCACCAAAAATGTTAACCTGCACCAAAAACATTAACCTGGTCATTCCTTTGCTGAAATTGCAGCATCTGAAACTTTGACGGGTACAATGAAACACATTAGAAACATCTTCCATGCATGTCTAATCAATATAGGACATAGAAGTACTTAAAAAGAAAACGGCTCCAAAAAACTTAACCTTAACCCGGGACGCCGACGCCGAGGGTATCACATAAGCTCCCCCCAACTTCGTTGAGGTGAGCTAAAAATGACTTAATTATAAGTTTCCATTATTTTAAAATTCTTGCTTATAATACTTCTCTCATAAAGGTATGGACCTGACAAAAAATTTACACAGTTTATCTCTTGAAGTGATCTTGATACTACAAGTGGTACCCAAATGACCTAATGTCATGTCACAGTATGCCTTCACTTGATTTGGCAATTGTCTTTGTCTTATAACATATGAGTTTTTGATAACTATCTTCAACTTCTTGACAAATATAATAAATGTCAATTTCAAAAAATACAAATCTAAGAAAATAATATTGTTTCACTTTTATTATCAAAAACTACGAGTACAATACTATAGAACATTGCATTTAAACACTAAAGATCAACAGAAATCATTAATTATTGCCACAGGGCAAGTTAGATATACATGGATTGCAATAACACATTAGCATCATCAAAAACAACAATCTGCTAAAAAGTGTGGAAGTGGGTCATAATATAAATGAATGTTGTAACTGCACAGAAATACCAATATAAATTTCTATAGGAAATATGAGTTTCATGCCACAACTTATGAGTTCATCACATCCCCTAGTATTACTTCCATACTCATATAGCAAAGTTTTAGCCTTATCCTGCACAAAAGTCACCCAAGCATAACAAAATTAATTACATGTATATAAAGAACATTATTAGTTTGCACTTAAATTTGAAAATCCAGAAGCAAAAATAGTTCAAATCCTGCCCTACATGTATTGCAATGTATAAGCATTAATTCTAACTTGCAAACAGGCCAATGAAAAACAAAAGAAGTGGATTTTAAACATTGATGCCCATGAAATGTATAGTTAAAAACTATGTAAAAATTGAAGGTTAAAATGATATTTTTTGAAAATATTTTTGTGATCCCCATCCCTCATAGTGATACAAATATGCCAGACACTTTTTGATCAGGAAAGCTCACTTCAGCCATTTGTTAAACTAAGCAAAAACAGATTAAAACAACCATTAAAACTTTAATTAATCTAAGTGTTAAATACAAAACCTTTTTAAAATGCTTCAGAAAAGAGGAACCCGTCTAATATTGCAAATATGTACAGACTATTAGCTGAAGTTATCCACAAATTACATGGATTCTATTTACAGGCATTAATGATTTACAAAACCCAATCATTTATATACCCCCAATCCCTCAAAATTTAAGAAATATTTCATTTTTACATGCCAGAATAATGATATTGTGTCCAGTTTGTACATGCAAGATTGTAAACAAAATTACTAAAGTGTACTTCATACCCTGCATTTTAACAATACCTTAATAGTTCTCACCTCTGAAATGGATACAATTTTTTTATGCCAAAAAATTGAAAATTCCAACATTTGCACCTCAATCATTTAAAATATATCAAATAGCAAAAATTGTTAAACAGACAAGCAAACAATCTCAACAAAATCTACTGAATGTTTACATTCTGTTTATACACGGCTATCCTGTAAATGGCTACACATTTATCTGTAAGATATTTATTACATCATTGTTCTATATATACATCTTATTGGAACAAGAAAATTTATCCTTATGTTTGATGTAATCATCATTTTGTTCCAACCAAATACAGATTTTTTTTATGATACACTTCACTTTGCTTGTTTAGATTTCTATCATAACAGACACATTTCAGTATTTCATTCCTTCTCATCCACATAACTCTGTACCACAGGGACAGTAACATACTTTGCTTGACTTTAAATTATCACTTTATACACAGAATGCTACTTTTTATATAAACAGTGATCACCTAGAATCAAAAAAATTGTTACTGCCAGTCTCTGTGCTTTGTACTTGGGTTAATTTTAAACAAAAAATTGGCAAAAGCAAACCACTTAAAATAACAATAATTCTAACATTGCTGTACTATACTTTTAAGATATAACAATCAAATATCAAACAGGGTTTAAAACTGACAGAGGAAATTGTACTCGCACAAGTAATAAACACCTACTAGAGGCCATCATTTTATAACAGTATCATGTTAAACAAATACTCCAATGCCCATGCTGTGAATGCCTTTTAAAGCAACTCGAGCAATGTTCCTTTTGTAGAACTTTTAGTCCAGGGTGATAAAATGAGTACAAACATCATGAAATATGGAATACATTGGAATCATGAAGCTATGAGATTTGATTGCAAGCATGGTTATGAATACATGTACAGTGGACCTTCAGATATCCGGACGCCAGATATCCGGATGCTTCAGTATCCGGACGATTTTTCATCGGAACGAAATTTTTAAATGTTATTTTGTCTTGTTTAACTGTTGATTCAGATATCCGGATGCTTCACATATCCGGACAAATTAACTGGGAACCAAAGCGTCCGGATAAATGAGGGTCCACTGTATAAACTTAATGTGTCAAATTATTTTTAACAAACATCAAAGTCAACAAAACAATTTGAATCCATTGAACAATACAAGGGACATAATACATTGCAAGTCAAACATAAAAGATGAATTTGAACTGATTACATTTGACCTGTAACCTCCTCACTGACCTCTACGTGAGAAATATTACAACAAGTACCCTCAAACACCTGCTCAGCAATATCAGCATCCATGACGATGATCTCGGTTTCTATGGTTTCCTCTTGTTTAGAGGTCAGACTATCAGTGGCGTCCTGACACCCCCCACACATGCTTATTGGGAACTCCTCCGATCCCTCAGTGCTGTACCATACTGGACAGGTCAAGGACTGGACGCGTCGGAAAGGTTCCTCAAACTGACGGACCGGGACCTCCCAGTGGTCAGGGTAATGGGTGACCGACACCCCGGGGCATAAAACATTACCCACAAGTCTGTCCATCGTCCACTGAAAAGCCTGGACATCTAATTCACCCCGCTCTGATTTCACTACAATTTTCTCCAGCGTTTTAAACAGAACATTAATGTTTAATTGGCCTTCAGGGGTCAGGGTCACAGTCACTGGGTCAAGGTCTTCTTCCAGGCAACCAAAATAGCGTCTATTTGTGATGACCAATGGCAAGGATGGAGTAACTGGGATCTAAAGAAAAGTAAATAATCAGGGAAAACAACACCCCTGGAAGTTTAAAGTTCTAATTCATTTCTTTTATCTCTTAACTTGGATAATATAAGGCTCAGATACTAGGTCAATTCAAAACTTACCTGATTTCAATGTTTACATAAATAAAGTCATATGAAATTTGCTTTAATATTCAAGCTATGACTTTTAATTATATCTTACCTGGTAGGAGAGTGAGTGGTACTGCTGGGACCTGAGGACGTCCAGGGCGGTCCGAATGACAGGGGTCAATCCCTCCCTGACCAGCCCACATCCCGGGCACGCCGCGTTAAGATACAAGTTGCAGTGGGTCATGACCGTGCGTGTTTCTCTTTTGTCCGCTGTGACTGGAATAAATCCAGGAGAAGTGTTGCTAAAGCTTCACCGCTGTCAAATATATTGCTCATTCCGCGGGACTCAATTATTATAACCAAGCCATTAGTCATTTAATTGTAAGACATCACAAGTGTTTCATTTCTAAGATAATGAAAAAGACCGTATAGATGAATCCCAATGCTAAACAATGAATCTATGGCATGCAAGATTTTTTTTCATCTCAATTGTTTTGTGTTCAGTGGAAAATGTGGATGATTGATGATGCGACTAAACTATTTGTTTGTACTGAAAATTCTGACAAAGTATTATCAGAGAATGAACATTCTGCTGCCTCATTCAAGAAATAAATGAACAACATGCTGGAAAAAGCATTGGAAAAACTTGAAGAGTAATACATGCCCAAGATATAAAAATATCTGAAAGTTTTAACCCAGATTAAAGTTACCCCAATAATAAGTCACAACACATGCACAAAGATTTCACTGAGGCATGATAGTGTCATAAGAATAACAAAGATGGAGGCTAGTGTAGCCAGTTACATTCAGTATTCGTTATATAAGAAACATCTCTCATCATTGGTCTGCACAGATATACAGCTGTATGTACATTTACATGGAGAAGTCACTAAGGAAAAGTAAGATTTCTTATGACGGCACAATTCCTAACTACCCTTTACCCTCTATTTCCACAATTAATGCTATAAATAGACTTACACTGGTTGTCTGGTTCCCCGCCCATCACCTCAGCAGATAGCTGGTCCTCGGTGAGTTCCCCCAGCTCCACGGTTACTTGTTCTGTCACATGATCCATGTCTGAAAATAAACAATTATAAGTCTGAAAAGTTTCACTATTGTAAAACATGAGAACAATTTTAAAATTTCTTTTGAATCAAATATAATTTCATGTAAATATTGTAAACAAAGTACATGTATCACAACTGGAATCTTCAAATCTTTAACATGACTGCATGAAGTGAGTTTAAAGGAAATTAATCAATACAAATATAAGGCGCTACTTTTATTACACTTTGTCAGCATTTACAAAAAACATAAAGATGCAGTCATGAGTGACTGTTTGACTTTGATACCTGCTGACTCTTTGTTGGCTTGGGAACTGCCTGGAGTTTCAGACTGTGATACATCAGCTAAATCAGAAACAAGTGTGGGATCAGAGTATAATAATTGCAGAGAATACAAAATAATATTTTAGAAGGGGATATATAAACAAGAGGCCCATGGGCCTTATAGGTCACCTGAGCATTATGCAACAACTTTCCAGTGATTGAATTTGATTCATGTTTTAAGCCAGATGCTATGGCATTCACAATTTTGAAAGAGGCACCACTGATCATCATAACTATATACTTAGCAGTTGCTTAGTTACTTAATACCCATAGGCAGGGTAGGGGAACAAAAAATGCATTTCAACTAATCAGTAATGTTCAGCAATAATCAGTAGTGCCCCTACCACACATGAACCCCTGACACTTAAGCCTAGATCCACACATTGCACAATTTTTGAAAAGGCAAGGAGCAGGTTTCAAACAATTCATTCATTTTCAGTATATAAGTACAGCCCCCACCCTCTATGGTACCCCGGACCCTGGGGCCTTGAAATTCACAATTCTGGAAGATTAGGGCCGTTTCTCATCATAACTATATAGGTAGTTCATCTGCTTAATACCCAGGAGCAGAGAAAAAAATTTTCAAAGATTTAATGTATTTTCACTATATAATCAATAGAGCCCCGTCCTAACACCAGAACCCCTGACCCTGGTATATAGGTAGTTCATCTGCTTAATACCCAGGAGCAGAGAAAAAAATTTTCAAAGATTTAATGTATTTTCACTATATAATCAATAGAGCCCTGTCCTAACACCAGAACCCCTGACCCTGGGGCCATAAAATTCACAATTTTGGTAGAGGCTTCCTTGCTCATCATAACTATGCACTTAGTCTATTTAATACCCAAGAGCATGCAGAGAAGAAGATTTTCAAAGAAATAATGCATTTTCACTATATACTTATTTAGCCCCACCCTAGCACTAAAATCCCTGACCCCAGGGTCATGAATTTCACAATTTTGGTAGAGGACTCAATGCTAATTACAATTATGCAAACAGTTTGACTGCTTGATGTTCAGGAGTAAAGAAGAAGATTTTTAAAGATTGCATTAATTTTAGTGGTTTTGGCCCCACCCCTCAGGCCCCAGGGGGGCAGGGATCATGAAATTAAAAATTTTTGTTCCCCTTCACCCATAAATGCTTTGTGCCAAATTTGGTTGAAATTGGTTCAGTGGTTGCAGAGAAGAAGCTGAAAATGTTCAAATGTTAACGCACGACGACGGACGAAAACAGATAGCAATAGGTCACCTGAGTTTACTCAGGTGACCTAAAAAAGAAGAGAAAACATGATACTCAAGGACCTGAGTATTATACAATCCTGCATAGAGACCAAAGAAAAAAAAAATATAATAAAAAAGTAATAAATTAGCAGTAGCTGATATTCTTAGATGAATTAAAACATGTTACTCAAAAACCAGAGGCATAAGCCAACATTCAGGGATTAACAATTTCGTTAGTTTAGTCAGCAAACTACTCATTTTATCGATAACCATGTGTTATTCTTTAATTCCCTTTATCCGTACCTATCAATTACATTATATACAAACACTTAGTATAATAGGTGATTGATAAAGGGGAAAGATTTTCTTGAAGCATAAAAAATATTGTTTGATTGTCATAGAGTCAAACTACTTCAAACCCTGGAGTAGTTCACAAATGACCATCAAAATCAAGCACTATGTTTGTCTGCATAATACCCTATGCAGAGACGAAAGTTTTTGAAGAATATGACTGCTTGAAGTTCAGGGAAAAAAAAGAGGATTGCATAAATTTTGATGGTTTGGTCCCATCACCAGGCCCCCTGGGTAGTGATCAGGTAAGTTCAAATTTTAATGTAACCCTTTACCCATAAATGATATATATACCAAAATTGGTTAAAATTGGTGAAGCAGTTCCAGAAAAAAGGCTGAAAATGTTCAAACGTAAACACACAAGACACAAAAACAGACAGTTATAGATCATCTGAGTGTCTCAGGTGACCAAAAAACAAAACAAAATGATCACATTGACTCATCATTTTTTTGTAATTCATCCAAAAAATTGCAGATGAAAATAAAGAAGTGGAAAATGAATATTTTCATAAGAAAGAAAACCAAAAAGACTGGGACTCTGTACATGGAGGACAGTCACAATGTGAAAGTTCAAAGGAGGTCCACTCAAAAATATGCAAGAAATGAAAGGATTAAAACACACTCGTGATATCAAAATGAAAAACGTTTTTATGAAGAATGCATGCCGTTACACTGTATCTACACCCTATACACTCCAAGTCATACTAAAAATTACCTTGTGCTGCAAAACATAAGAAAAATTCACATTTTACCTTTTCTATTATTATTACTTTTAGATTTATATTCAGTCCTGAATATGAAAAAAAGGAATAATTGGTTAATTGTAAGCCTTTCATAATTTTCCTCCAAAGAAAAGGCATGTTTTTGTTTTTTTTCCAAAATTGGGTACAGATATAAGCATAGAGGGAACAATCAAAGTACACTGGACTTTACTATGCAGGCTTCCAGGGAGGGGTCAAATTGTCTATGGTGAAAAACAATTAACACTGCAGACTAAAAAATATACTGCTAAAACCCATCAGGAAACCTACTGCAAACATTGACAGAGATTATCTAAATCATACTGAGAGTTAATGTACCATAGATATTGACAGGGCTGGTACTAATGTTGATTGCTAGTTACTTACAACTAATATTGACTGGACTGATGTTAACCGTTAGTTAACTTACCATTAATATTAACTGGACTGATGTTAATTTTACTGCCTTGGTCCGACTCTTCACCAGAGGAACCTATTAAAATATTCCTCAAATTTAAATCTTCTTAAATTAATTCAATAAATGAAATAACACTGATACAGTAACAAAGAATAATATTTTCATTTCAAGATCATCTCTTCTTGTTCTTTTAACATTTAAAATAATTCATATTAATGACCGATATAGACAATTTCTCCACTCTCTGACTTACTTTTTAATCAGGTGGACTTACCTGCATTCACTGGTTGTAGCTGTGGGATAGCCTGCACTGTTACTTTTTCAAATGATTTTCTGCCTCCTTCAGTAACCAGGGTGGGGCGTATCTGACCCTGACCCACCACCTGGGCACCACTGATGTTAAGTCGTGACACCAGGCGGCTTCTGATGTTGGGGTAGGCCGTCGCCTCCTTGCTGCTGGACACCACCGTCGGCTGTGGTTTTGCTGTGGTCTCTGTGGCATCCTTGCTGTTGTCTAGGGCTTGCGTAAGAACAACACTACTAGGGGTACCCTCGAGCGTCCCTGGGTTCTTAGTGGCCAGATTTTTGGCTTTGAGAGCTTCAAAAACAGTGTATGGAATGGTGATCTTGACATTAGAGCTGTCCGTGTTACGAGTCAGTCGGTCCTGTAGGACTGAGTCCAAGGTCACATTGGTGATGGTCAACTTGTCCTGACCTTGACCCTTCCCCTCAATATCTTTCTGTTTGTTTCCAGCTAATGCTAAAAGCTGCTTCATGTCTAAAATAAATTGAATCAATTATTACTTTAAATTTAGACGTAAATTTACAAAGTACAGATCAAAGTTAAAAAGCCAGTTATATTTATCAAGCAGGCATGAAAAGAACTTTTGCGAACAAAGATTTTATCCTCTACCAATATTCTAGGGTTCTTAAGGTAGGATTCTTCTCACATTTCTTGTATTTAAAAATTAATGAAATTTTCACAGAATCAAGAGGACAATATCACTAAGTGATGGCATCAGGGAAATAAAATTTGACCGTTTAATATTAGAGGCAAGGTCAGGTCAAGGTCATTACCTTTTTTCTGGACATTAAGAATAAAAAATTACTGTTTCCAATCATGCGATCCCTACTTGTAATTCAAAAGATTGAATGTTTTTCTTTTTGCATAAAAAGATACTACAATATAGGGCCTATAAGATGATATTAACAAATTGACATGGATAATTTAAATAAAATGGGTATTTGCTAATCCGAATTTCCTCTACTTTTCTCAAATTTTTAGGATTTATTAGTTATTTTTATATACTTCCTATATTTAACTTTTTCCAATTTTCACATATAGTAAAGTTGTCACATAAAGGTACTAAACAATGCAAAAACTAAAAGTTTTGATCGTTTACTAAGAGAGAAATAACACTTTTTACAGATTTTTGGCTCAAATCTGTAGTTAGATTTGAAGCATTTAAAAGCCAACATAGTTCTAGTATCTGTGGAAAGTCTTATTTATTTGATATATTTTGAAACTTAAGTCCCTTATTATTAATTTAACTTACATTCGAAAATTTCGTCTAGTCTTTGATTGTGCAAAAATTGTAAGTAAATTCAATGTTCTATAATAATTTTGAGAGGCAGAAAAGAAGATATTTTCATACCACCATTCCGCCAAAAATATGGTCCCTGCTAGTTTTCAAACGCAGTTTACCATTTCTATTTAAAGTTGTATAATTGTGATGAGGAAAGAAAAATATTGTCTTTTAAATCTCTTACATCTAAATATATAAGACATATCAACAAATGTACTTTGAATATTCCATCTAGTCAGAAACCTGAGAAGAATCCTACCTTAAAAATCTTCTTACCTAATATATATGGCAGTTTCAACATGTTAAGCACACTTTGCCCTGAAAGAAAGGAAAGGAGTTCCACTTCTTAGAATAAATCAACATTTCCTTTACATGAATCATTGATATCTCCGATAAGAAAACAGAAAGAGATGTTATTATAACAAGAAATGTATTTTATAAATGTGAGATTAAAAGCCTGAATGTGACATGACACTTGTACCACAATATGACACTGTCAATAACTACCAGAGGTTGGTGTACTGGGGGTGGCCCCAGGGGTAAGGGAGGTGCTGCTGCCCTGGGACTCAGATTCGTAGCCCCCCTCCTCCTCACTGCTCTCTGTCTCCTCACTCTGTGGGGTTTTACCCGTTTCACGGCGGCTCCGTTTTGATCTTGGCTGGTTTTCTTGGTCTAGGCTTCTCTTCACTGTCAGTTGAATCTTTTCCTGTTCAAATAAACCCACAACAGCTCATCATTCCAATATATAATCAATTTATGGTTGTTTCAAGATTTTAAAATCAATAGAGCCCTCATCAACAAAAAAAGGTTTAGTTTCCTGTATGGGCAGTCTGACCTTTGACTTTTTGTCGTCATCCTTATCTGTGGCTGCCTCCTGGTTTTTGAGTTCTATGGCGTGGAGCAGTGTCTGTAACATCCCCCCTTCTGTGGTGGTTATACTGAAGGCTGCAGGGGGACTACTGGACTCCTTCAGCTGTTTACTCCCTGCAGGTGTGCTTGGTGTAGAGCTCCCTGTATATAACAAAAACAAATAAATCAAAATCATTACAGGATCAGGAAACAATGTAAACTACTATTTAAGTGTGATTTTCCTCAAATAAAGGAAGGAAATATATAGTTAACCATGCAAATTTTTTTTTTTTTATTTTTCTCCAAGGGCACTGGGAAATGCATTTTCTTTACACGTAAAATGTGCCCTAATCAGACATCAACCTCATATCTTGATTAATTCTTTTAATTTCACGGAAAATTTTGTGTACATAGTAAATCTTTTTTCTTCATAGAAATATGTTGTGTATCAAATGTATTTCTTTGAAAGAGCCTCGGAACCTTATGGTATCAACCCTTGTATTAAATTAAATGGGACATTTGTCCCCCCTACCTAATATCTTGTACCTCATTTCTGAAGAATTTCTTGTGACCTTTACCATGTTTACCCTACCTTTCTTGTTGTCGGTTTTCTTGCTACTCCTGGTGACCATCTGTAGTCGTTTCTTCTCCTCCCTCTCCTTTTCATCATTGAGGTCAATAAATTTATAGACTTTAAATGCATTATCTCCTTTCCTTACACCCAGATCTCTCAGTTCTATAACATCTGGTAAACTGTTCAAAGCACAGCGAAAATTGGCTTTCCAGCGCTTATGATTCCCATCATGGTGGCGACCTTCAAATAAAAATCATACAACTTGAAGATAGAAAATTTTAATAATTATTTTAGTAAATTGTATCAACATTCAAATATGGCGAAACCCATCTAATCCGACATGTACCGAGAGATGAATTTTGTGTCTGAATAGACAGTGTGTCAGATTGCATAGTGTAAAATATTTATGACAATTAGTTAAATGGGAAAGACATTTAACATCAGAATTTACAGTGTGATGGATTGCACAGGTGTTGGATTAGACAATTTTCACTGTATTCGTTTAAGAATAACATGGACAGAAGATAGAGATTAATTCACAACCCAGTCCTGGTGAAGAATATTACTGACCTGTATGATAAGCCCATCTCTCAAACAGATCGGAGTCTGTGGTTCTGTTAAAGCAGTTGTGTGCGGCATGTTTCCAGGAGATGCGGAAGATGCGCTGAGTACGGTTTTGCCAGGAAAGTCCGGGAATACTCCCACTGTCCAGGTGCTCCAGGAGCCAGGGCCTCATCTTCTGACGTTCCACCGGTCTAATGGGTCGATAATTCATCGTATACCCATGTTCTCCAGGATTATCCTCCTCCTCCGCTAGGACCAGTTTAATGGAGCCTTTCTCGCTGGCTGCCATCACGTTGGCCACCACCACATTCTCATTGTCTATTTCCACCACCTCCTCCACATACTGTGTTACCGTGGTGACGTCCTCGTCGGGGGAGTCTTTACTCTCTATAGTGATGACCTTTGTGTCCTCCCCCGGGTCGGACTGATTGCTGGCCGGGTACTCGTACACATAGATGGTCTCTTCTGTGGTCTCCCTCTCTGTCTCCTCCATACTGTTACATCTACAAATTCTATCACTTGATAACAAAAAACTCCTGAACAAATTCTATATTTATTAGCTAAATAAATTTGCTTCCATATTACATGCAAATTAAACTTGTTCATGTTTGTTATTTTTTTTTTTTTTTTCTATTTGGGAGGGGGGCTAAATGGGTATCATGGTGCTGGAAAAGAAAATATGTGATAAATAAAAAATTTGTCATCTTTTAATACAATTTCAACCTCATTAAATAATAAATTGTAGCCACATCACTCCACCAGTGTCAACTATTATTTTTTCAAACCCGCCTTGGCTGCACCCCCTTTGCACCTTAAGCCTCGTTCTGAATTGACCTACTTTCAATACATTAAACAGGGATGAGCATGCCTTTGCGCTAAAAAAAAAATACCATACGCATAAAAGATCACTTGCAAAATTAATCGCATTTGCACTTAAACTACCTTTGCCTTTATAAATTACTATAGCAACTGATATATCCCGCATCTTTGAACGCTTTCTGTGCTTACAGGTTATAAATCTAACAAATATTTGATGATCGCAGGCGCCATCTTTGAAAAGAAAGTAGGGGGCTTATGTTTTACTTTCGATATACTATTTCGTTAATTCACTTATTAGTACTAAAGTTTCTCATATTTCTTATGGCAAGTGAAAAACCCAAACCTATTACACCGAAATGTTAAAGTATATATGCATAATATTTTCAAATATATCAAATTTTTAAAATGCTTTAGTTCTACTTTCGAGATAGATACATACATTTGGTTTCGTTTTCAAACACGATTTAAGAAGTCGAATATATCATTACAAACTGAAAGATTACGTTTAACTTACATTATGTCAAGTTGTTCGTTTCTTCTTCTTTCTTCCTCTTTCAGTTTGGAACAAACCTTCTAATTCTAACGCATATGTCTGCGACCTTACAACAGCACCTTGACAATATAGAAACTAAAACGCTGCCTCTCGCTCATTAGCATATTCATTTGGGAAGTAAAGACGTACTCAAGTTTTGATTGGTCAATTTATTCAACATATCGTGCGCGGATCTAGCCAGACAAAAAGTAATAAATAAAAATTTTAAAATCATCGGAACTGTTGTAAGGTTAGACACAATCTTAAATTATATCTTTAATAGTATATGTAAAGTTTACATTTTAAATTAAATTTAATACTTTTCCCCTATCATTTTCGAATTGCAAACAAATGTTTTTTTTTGGTTTTCTTTTGTTTTGTTTTTTGTTGCATATTTATCACTGTTTATAAATTCCATTTGATTGTTGATTGTATATTATTTAACATGTTTAACGTACTAAGCAATGACAACTCTATTATTATCAGTGTTATAGTGAACAATTGTAAAATTAATGCTGATCGAGGTCATAATGAAATTTCGAAATGGATGTAATTCATCAACATGATTATCGAATTGTAAAAATGTATACTCAATTCATTTATTAAGAAATTTATATTTAGTAAAATATTTCCAAAGAAAAGAATGCTAGCACTTATGAAAGAGAAAGGACAGAGAGGGAAAATAAAGTAAAGTTGACAAATATATATATATAATCAAAGAAGACAAAAAAACTTCAGAAGCGAAGACATGGAGACACCACCATGCACTTGCCGGTGGAGAGCTACAAATTTTGTTCTACAACATGTATACTCGGCACTTAGGGTCATTGAGCAGTGAGGGATCTCTTTCGTGCCAGCACCTACTGCGACACGGGACCTCGGTTAATTTTATACGGTCTCATCCGAAGGACCTGTAGTCTCCACGTCCCACAGTGGGATTCGAAGCTGCGATTCTAGAGCAGACGCTCTAACAACTGCGACACGCGGCGACTAGCTCTTTTTGAAGAAGAGAGTTTAGCAAGTTCTAAGTACGTACAGAGTATAGCACACTCCAAAAAAAAAAAATCAGGTTGATGTTTCCAGAAATTGATTCAGGCAATGCATGTGTCATCATTGAATTTCCAATATGTGTTACACTGAAATGTGATATGAATGAAGTTATCAATGTACAATTTATCAATAGTGCAACACCCCAAGGAGATTAATCCATGCATTAAGCAGATCTTAACCTTCGATAAGTTTTATAAGGGGTTCCTTACAAGTAAGGTCTGCAGTCCATTTTTGTACAAGACAACGTTTTTATATGAAATGAAGTTTATTCTGCACATTTAACATCATGATATTCATTAACTCAAGCTAATAGTGTGTTGTCAATTTATCGAAGATGGAGTACTGCACTACAGTTCATCCTCCATGATTCAAGATGAACTCTGAGAACACCTGCTGGAAAAGCTCCGAGACTTTCTTCATCACATTTCATTAAGCTTATACAATTTGAAAATATTATTACACAATAAAAAGTACATAATGTGTAACCTTTGGAAATTTTTACTTAGTATATCAATATTTTTTCAAAGTACGATTCGTACCCGAGTACGTACTCGAGTTACTTGAGTTTCAATCGAACGACCATAGTTACTACTCAAATTACGTCATATGACCTTATGAACTCTACCCAAGCTAACCCAGCCAGTAGGATAGAGTTTCGATATATGGCGGCGTCAAAAAGAAAAACCCGAACTGTAGGAATTATTTTTTTCAAAATATGATGTTTAGCATCGCTAATCCTTAAAAGCAAACTTCGAAACGCACTTTCTACATGAAAGCTTTACAGTGTATATGAATATATGTTTATTTGATTAGATTTTTCAGGCTTACTGCCCGATAACAGCAGACGTAAATTCAAATTCGAACCAAAAAAAAAATAAGAGCTGGAAAAAAAATTTCAACTGCAGCAAAAGCTATAGAAAAAAAAAAACACAACAGATGATGTCAAATCGACCTATTTGACCGCCTTTTAAATCTCACAGAGGAAAAAAAAGTAATTAGAAAATAGTATAAATAAAAACGAACAAGTGCGTATTGTTTATAAATTAACAGATTTACTTTTTGTCCCCCGCTTGAAAAGTGGGGGATATTAATTTGGGTTTGTCCGTCCGTCCGTCCGTCTGTCAATCCGTGTTTACGAGAGTGCATTTATTGGGTATTTTTCATGCCAAGATTGTACTTATTGGGTACTTTTTGCTTATTGGGTATACCCAATAAGAAGTGTCGCTGAATATGCTTAAAACACCCTAATTGGGTATTTGCAGGTTAGTACCCAACAAAACTTGGACACGACGATTTGTCCAAAAAAGTGTCCAAAAAAGTTGCTTTCACGGACGCACCGTGTTTTGTTGTTTCAGTTTTACATTCGGAACTCTAAATTCTCGAGAGTTCCGAAAATCAACTTCCGTTGATCCTGATCATAACAACGTTTGTTTTCATGGAAAAAAAATATGGCGACTGAGAAACACTTAATGTCAACAAGATTTTCTGATTGACAAGAGAAAAGGTAAGTTTATTCGATTAATATCTATCCATTTCTGGGTTCTTGTTTAAGGAAAATAGATTTTAATGTAATTTTGAAAACAATTGTGCACAAAATTAAAATAGATATATCGGAACAATTAATCCTAAGTTGCACTTGTTTGTATTTTGAATTTTCTCTGTCTTTTTAACTCTCTTGAGGGCGAGAAGTATTTAGTAAATGATCGTATATTGTTAGATAATCTTTAATAAATTGAAAGTGTTTATTATTTAATTTTATATCATAACCAACTAAGTATGTTTTGACAATGTATATTGGAAAGTGAAATGAAAAATTTAACAATCGTGTGTTCATAAATCAGCTGTAAATTATCGGTTCATGTAGACAGTATTACAATCGCAAAGTGAGCTGAGATGATGATAAATGGGATAATTGACAACAACTAAATAATTGTATGTAAGTTTATCTCATCTGATATGTAACTTAAGAGATTCATTGTATTACTGAAAAACTTTCAGTCAAAAACAGTGCTTCTTTCTGTCTTTGATTTTGACTCAAATCAAAAAAAGTGCTAGATCTAAAGCAAACTAGCATGGCGCTGCGCCATGCCCTTATTTCCTAACCCAAAATTAATAAATAGGCCCAGTTTAGGCAATATTCCTTTGCTGTTCTGTTTATTCAGTGCATGCTGATAATCCCTTTGTTTATACAATGACAGGAAATCACTTCACGCTTGAACGCACGCACACAGCCACCTGGCTAATTAACATGCCTCAGGCTGTCAGGTTAGAGGATTTAACTTGAGAAACTGTCATTTGATTGCATTGATTATGCAAGAATTAGCCCAAGACCAAAGATAAATAAACTTGTAAATTATTAACTAATAAAAATCAGGATCGTTTTTTCATAAACCGAAAGTAGAATAAAACACATAGTTCAACTTGAAAAAAAAACCCGGATATTTCATCTGAATAAAATACTTACAGTGTACCAAAAAACTGAATGTGATGTGATAAAAAGGCTTAAAAACAACAAACTAAGTTAGTTTCTTTGATTGAACTGATAGATTTGACAAGCTGAGGGTCAAAGTTTCTAATTAAAGTCAGAGTTTTTTTTTAAACAAATTATGCATGGCAATAAGACCAGTTTTCACATGATCCTGTTGGTAGAATATTTTCCAAGTAAAGAGAATGGTCTCTACATGTATTTTTCAAAATGGCCATCCCCCCTTCCCTGAAAAAAGTATTTTCCTTTAATGTTTAAATTGACTGTACTTGTAAACAAATAACAGTCCAAGCAGGTAAAAAAAACAATCATACCTCCAAACTTTAATAATTTTTGCACCTGTTTCAGCTAGATTAATACCATTACTTTCTCAATTGTAACCTTACTATTTTTTTTATTGAAGAAATTGGATGTAAATGCCTTTTTTTATATTCTTTTTGTTTCTGAATCAATGATTAAAACATTGTTTTAAAAAAAAAGAATGGAATACAGATATATGAATTTATCTTTAAATAACTTGTTTTAAATAAAGATTTCAATATGAAAGGATATTAAAAGTAATCAAGCATGTTAAAGTATGTAAAAATTTAAAAATGTTAAATATAATGTCAATGACATTAACATTTGTTTTCAAAGTGCCCTCGTGAGATCCTGTTGCGACACAAAGTGCCCTTTTGATTCCTTGATTACCATGCCCTTTAGGGTCTAGATTTAACACTTTTTTTTTTTTTATAAAAAATGAGTGTCTGCTTTATTTTGATTTTTTTTTAATTATTGTTTTTGTCATTTGTTTTAATTAATTTAAAACAATACTGAAATTGATATAGGGCTACTATAACTATTTCACATGATGGGTGTGTAATTAGCATCGCGCTACACCCGGGGCTTCCATTTTTGAGGATGGGGCTAGTGTTTTTCTGCACTGAGGAATCCCCTTGGGCTATTAGGAATTTTAAAACACACATGTAATGCATGAAAAGCACCACCGGTATTTTCACTCTTTTTTGCTATTAAATTCCCTAATATGGAAATATTCCAGACAGCATGCTCATATTATCCATAAATCTCCACAACTGCATCCATTTTGCAGTACTACAAGACTGATTTACTTAAAAACGATCTTTTATTTCCTAATTTGAATTCCCCCCTTTCCTTTGTTTAATATAGCAATATTTGCTTGTTCATATATGCCTCACAGATATCTCATTATTAAATTATATACATTCACTCAATCAGCTCAATGATAAGTGTCATGCAATTATGTAGCTTTTTTTTAAGCCATGTATGGCGTAACTGATCAAAAAAAATATTTTTGAAAAATACAAAATTAAGTACAGAAATATAGCTGATAACGCAATTGACTTAGATTTTGTAATTTATAAATTACAAAATCTAAGTCAATTGCGTTATCAGCTGTAATTACGGAAAATTTCTATCTTTATCATGTTTATATAAAGTAATGATACAAATAATAAGTTCTTATAATTTTAGTCTAATAATTTTCATTGTACATATGCCATATATGGCTTTAAATGATTCAAGATGAAAACAAAATGATTTTTGCTTCGTTTTAATTAGACGAACTAGTG